TCCGTCATGTTTTCGCTATGTTTCTTCGCGTTTTTGAAAAACTTCCGATTCCAAAACGGAAAATGAATTCAGACAGAAATTTATTGCAATTTAGATATTGGATAGATGTATTTTGCAAAATAAATAAATAAAAACTAGTAAACGGCTAAATACAACCAAGTGTCGAAAGTTTTGCTTTGCTCTTGCTTCACGATATAAGATTAGCCGACTCAAGATATCACTACTCACTATGGGTAACGTCTTTGCAAAGTTTCTTCCAACACCTTTTGCATTTGTTCGTTTTCTAACTAATTATATACTACAAGAAAACTTGCAATTTGGGACTCCTTGTTGTGACTATTTTTATGGTCGCAAAAAAGCGCGATTACTTTCTGTCTGTTTTACGACTGTTAAACAACTACAAAAGAAACAGATGGAAACTAGTTGCTTATTAGCGACGGAAATAAAGAGTTGGCCAACAGTCTCAATTTCGCAACTACTATCCGACCGTTTAGCTATTCTATATATTTGGTCGCAAACATGTCGCATTGTGAGACTACTTAGCCACTTGTTATTTAGTCAGAAATGTTAGTCGCAAACCAGTCTCTACTTAGAGACCATTTTGCCACATATTTCGCCACATATTTCGAATGTCTCTTGATGATGTGTGTTTTAAAATACAGAATTAAGACTATAAATCTTCAGTGTGATATATTTATTTACCTGATTGCGTAATAAGTTAACGATTTATTAAACTTCCAATTTGGTAACAACCTAACACTTATATTTGTACTCTATACTACTAAACTGAGTGTTTATGAGTGATTTCTATCACTTGAATGAATCAAAATCCATATATTTATAAATTTTGTTTTGTGACGATTCTTGTCAGTGACAAGTTAATCACACTTTGCGACTATTGTGTAACTTTAACGCGACTTGTATTGTGTTTCACTCCCTGTACTAGTCAAACCCAGGTTGTGACCATAATCCGACATATTGTGTGACCATTTTGCGACTGATGTTGTGACCCTTTCGCGTCTAGCACCTGAGATTAGCGACTATTTTGCTACAGATTACCAACGCTCGATATTTTCAATTCGAAATTTGTAAATTGAGGTTTGTTTACATGTTTTCTTATATGTTACTACTTTGATTTTATTAAAGTTAGTTAAAAAAGACTTAACCAACCCTTGAATTTCAATGTTTACAATCCAAACATTCAAAATTTCCAAATCCATATGAACTAATCATGTTACTTTATGAACATGATAGAGAATTTTGTAAAATTTCTAAAATAAGTTGAGAAAGCCAGGTTTGACCAACCTAACACTTATATATGTACTCTATGCTACTAAAGTGAGTGTTTATAAGTGATTTCTATCAATAGAGTGAATCAAATCCATAGATTTTGAATTTTTTGTGTTGTGGCTTTTTATTGTCGGTCTCAACTTAGTCACACTTTGCGACTAGTTTGTGACATTATCGCGACCGGTACCTATACTGTGACTAAATTACGACAAGTTTTGTGACTATTTACCGACGAATATTGCAACTTTTGCAATTTTTGTAACTTTTGTTAAATTTTATGAAATTTTGCTAAGTATTTGGGCGCTTAATATTCCCCCCCCCCCAAAAAAATTGATGTTGCGATTGTTTTGCGACTAAAGAGAGACTCCTTTCGTTAATTACTAGGCAAAACACCAACTCGACTTTTCATTATCTCACAATCGATCTTCTTCTTCTCTCTCGATCTAGGCTTTCGTCAACCACAAACACTCTCTCACTTTGCGATTCTTCTTCTTCTCTCTCGATCTAGGGTTTCAATCCTTCATCTCTTTCCCTGAATCAATTCCTTCTCTTCTTCTCTTTCGCCTCTTTCTCAATCGAATTCCTAATCCGATTCTTTCTCTTTCGAATCCCTATTTCGTCTCTTTCTCTTTCGAATCCCTCTTTCGTTTCTTTCTCTTTTGATTGTTTCTAATGGCTGCTGGTAAAGGCAAGTTAGTGAGAGGTCGCGGAGGCAAATCGACCAATAACCGTGGTGCCAGAGTCTACCATGGTCAAAATCCTTTACTAGGTGCTTGTGGTGTCGGAGCCTCTTCTCACTCATCGAACCCAAGTTCGGCGACATAGTTTGTTAACAGGTCACATGTAAGTCGTCCTTCCTAGTATCTGTCGGCGACACAAGTACCCGTGACTCCTGCTCTTCAAACATCACCTGCTGTCTTGCAACAAGCACCGCCGGGTGGCTTTCAACAAACACCGTCGGCTAGCTCTCAACAACCACCGTTGGCTGGCTCTCAGCAACCACCTCTTGCTCGTCGAAAAAAAAAACCTCCTGGGCGTCAACAACAGCCTTCTTCTTCTCGTCAACAGCAACCGCCTCCTCGTCAACAACAGCCTTCTTCTTCTCATCGACAGTAGCCTCCTCCACATCAACCACAACCTCCTCCTCTTCAACAACAGCCTCGTCAGGATCCACCGGAGCAACATGTCATACCACCGGAGCTAAACCCCTAATAATGAAGATGATTATGATGAAGAAGTAGACGAAGAGCCTCAACAACAAAATGGAGATCAAAATATCGACCTCCAATAGCTGTTGGATCGTTTGCTAGCCCTTCGAGGCCGAGAACATCTTCCATTTTTGTCTCAGAACCCGATCCCTGGAGTTGAGACTCTCTGGTAATCTCTTTCCTTTTCTCCTTTTGTCATTGACCATAACTTATGTGATTGTGATTGATCATTTTGTTATTGATCATCTGATTTTGTGATTGTTTTTGAGCATTTGTGTTTGTGATTGACCATCGGTTTATCGTTGTTTTTTTTTAACATTTGCAAATCATGTAGTCATATCCTTTAGTAGAAAGCTTAGTGTTTGTTAAACATTGTGGTTTGTTTTCCGTGTTTGGTTTGAGAATCTGTATTCTCTGTGTTGGATCAAGTTCTTGTTCATTGATAGATTCATGGTTTAATAGCAATAATTTGGGGATTTCTAGCTTCAAGCTTTTAGTCGTAAATAGAGACTTTTTGTTTTTCAATTCAACTTGAAGTTTAGAGACTTGTTTTAGTTGATTCTGCTGTTAATCAAACATATTTCATTCTTGCTTAGTCTTTGATGGTTATTTGCATCAACTAAAGTCTGTGATTCCAAGAAATGAATATAATTAGGAGTTATTTTTGCAATGTCTTAGTCCTTAACTAAAGTGAAATGTACTTTATATAGACTTAATACTCAGTCTTTTGTTACAGGTTTAACCGGCACAAAGGGAAGCTGTCTAGAGTGATTGCTGGAATCTTTCGGAGGAAGTTTGATGGGCCTTACTTCAGTTGGAAGGTTACTCCAATACCCATTCAAGAGAGATACTTCAGAAGTTTTGCGGTAATGTTATAGAAACCTTTCATTCTGCTATTGTTTACTATATATATGACTTAGTATCTTTGCTAACTTAACTGCTTGTTATGTAGCGGAAGTAGACCTAATTCACTCAATGTACTAGCTAATACTAATTGCGAAAATATCTTTAGTGAAGTAGTTTAATGTCCACTTATGCAACCTTTCTAAATTCGGAGTTTGACTATAACCAGTCACGTTACCCCATGTTTTAGAGTTTTAAATATGGGTCGGGCCCTGTCTACACAAATAAAGAACCAACAAAAAAAATACTAGTGTAGAAGAATAAATAAATGGGAGAATAACTAGAATAACTCATATATTTTAATAATAAGTAGAGTGTTTTCGTTTTTTTTAATCCCCAAAATACTCCTCTAAAGGTTTGTACAAAAAATCAATATAACAAAAATATCATTAAAAAAGAAATGCCCGCGAGGCAAAAGTTGCCATTATTTACAAAAAAAAAACTGACGTTATTTATAGCTTTCCCACTGATCTCTGCGAATTCAAATAAATCTGTAGAACAAATCTACCACAGATTCATAAATTTGTGACAAATTTAATTATATAGTTATCGCCGACTTGTTTTTCTTGCAGATTTGTTTTGAACCACAAATTTGTTCTACAGATTTATTTCTACCACAGACCAATCTTACAGATTTGTTAATAAATTACCACTGATTTATATGCTGTCACAGATTTTATCTCGACCGCAAACTTTTCTTACAGATTTTGTTGAGGACACCGCAGATTTTCTCTGTCTCACAGATTTATTTCGGCAGATTTGTTTTGCTTACAGACTTATTCTGAATCACGTTATTGCAGACTTATTAATAGTTACACCGATTTATGATAAATCAGTACGTTGCTGCAGATTTGATTGACCAAAAGATAATTACTAAATTGACTCTTAGTTGTCACATATTTTATTTATTTGATGGCAGATTTATTATGAATCACATAATTATTTTCCATCATTACAGATGTATTTGACGAAGTGATCGCAGACTAAATCATGATTAAACTAACTTACAAGTAATCACAGATTTATATAACTTACAAACTTGTTAATACCCTTTGCTTGCAAACTTTTATTAACAGACTTATTTGAAGACATCACATATTTGTTTAATAGAAAAAATTATCATTTTCTAACACTTAACTCATAGTTGAGGTATCTAAAAATACAAACAAACCATTAATTAACCATTGTAATCATAATCCCACCATTACATTCTTAGACAATAGCACATATACTAAATTACTAACTATATTGAAGGTGGATGTAATCATAAAACAAGTAGGATGACATGAGTTGTATTGTAGTTTTTGTTATATTATTAACACTTTGTAAACTTATATCAAGACAGTAGTCTACACCTATGCAACAAGCCCGAAATAACGTAATCACAAATCTACAACGTAATAATAAGTTTGCATAATGTAAAATGTCTACAATAACAAACAAAACCATATATAAGTCTTTTTGCGAATTGGAAGGAACCATGATATTTAGCAATGGTAACCTTTAGCGGTAAGGTGAAGGAACACTTGCAATCACTTAAATCACAATTGTGATACACAATAATAAATTTACGGTAAGTTAAAATAAAACAATGATAGAGAGTAAAAAATATGTGATCACTTAAAACAAAAATGAGATAGACAACAATAAATCTGCGACCATTTAAAATAAATCTGCGGAAGACGACAATAATCTGCAACAAGCCTAGAATAATCTACACATCATATTATCAAGCCTAAGACAACAACAAAAAAAAATGCATAACTGAAAGATAAAACAAAGGCTAGAACAAAAACCCAACAATGAACCGCATAAGCATCAACCGCACACAACGAGTAGAGACATTAGCTTTGAGATATCAACCAGCGAAATTCATAGTCACTGAAGTTAACTCCACCGGAATCTATGTCGATGACTAGACAGAACCCATCAAGAACCAATAAATCTGCAATCAAAACAATGCAACCAACAAACAAATCTTTAATGAAAAATAAATAAATCTGCGATAACTAACAAATAAGTCTGCCGTCAAAACTGACATTTCTTTGAACACTTTTCATGCGATACGTATTTACAACTTAATTTATCAAAAAGACCACAAATCAAATGAAAACCTCGATGTAGCTGCTACTGGTGAGGGAATTTGGCGTAGTTGTTGGCGGCAAAGCCTAAGAAGACGAAGTAGAAGCGGTGGAGAAGAGAGAAGCGACGATCTGGCGGAGGAGGAAGAAGCAGCATAGAGAAGAAGAGGGGAGAAGCGAAATACAATGGCCACAAAATACAGAAGACGACCTAGTTGGTGGCAGCAAGGAGAATCAGAGAAAGACAAATAAAAAAATCTCTAAAACGGGAAGTCAAAGAGGCAAAAGTGAAGAATATAACTCACCGTAGATTCATCATAGAAGACGACTCGCCGGAGAAGTACCGTAGCCGGAGAAGACGACACACTCACTAGAGAAGACAAGTTTAGAGATTTTCTCTCTTTTAGGGTTATTGTTCGTCGACGGCAATGAAGAAACGAAGAAGAATAAAAAGTTTTGGATTTTTTTTGTTTGGTTTTGTGATATAAAAATGATTTTTGTTTTTTTTTGTTTCAAAATTAAATAAAAATGGCAATTTCGTTATTATAACGTATAAACAGGTTAAAAGGTCTTTTTACAAAAGATATGAGTCATTCTAGTTATGTCTTTCAAAACAGAGTCAATCTAGTTATTTCAATCAAGATGTAGGTCATTTTGAGTAATTTTCACTAGATAAATACATGGGTCTAGTTCAAGCTACTAACAACTGAGGTTTAAAAGGTTGAAATTGCCACCAAATGCTAAAACAAATACTTTTTTCCTATGGTTATGTACATTGCACTGTGGATGTGTCATGACAACAAATATTATCAACTAACTCCACAAAAAGAATAACTTTTTTCGTTTTGGATCTTCAAATAACGACCTAATCTACTTTTTTGAACCAATCTAATTTCGTTTTACAATGGTCTTTGATTACATGATTAGGTGCAATCCAACTTTAACTGTTGATGACTGATCTTGCTTCATTTCTACTCTCAAGTAGTTGTACCTATTTTACCGAATTAGTCATCAAAAGAAACAAACAAAACAAAAGTGTGTTATCTTTTACACTTAACGCAACTAAATTGAATGAAAGAACAAATTTACTTTTCATACAAACCATTCCCACTAGTTGTTAGTTCCTGTCAACGTAATTCTAGAAGCAGGAAAGAGAGAAGAGACACAAATGTTATGCAAGTAATTAACAATTTTTTGAATTGAGCTTCTTCTTCTTCTTCTTTCAACGGCTTTCTTCCGAACGCGTCTTCCTCAACCTCCCACGAGTCATTCTGATTGTCTCCTCCATTACCGTCTCTTTTGGACCTTCCGGGTTTGAATTTTCATTAACTGATTCTGCTTCTCCTTCCACTTCTTCTATCTGCATTGGTTCCGTTTCCACTTGGCTGGTTGATTGGGTCGGGTTCACAATTGGGGAAGCTACTGATTTTTGTGCTATCTGAGTGATACCCGCATTTTTGGGATCTGCGGCTGGTACAGATGTCACTGTCGGTCTAGGTCTTGACGGGCCTGATGCTTTACGGGTTGGCTCATTACCTTCATTTTCACTTGAAGATGAGCTAGGGGACGAGGGTAATGATGCTTCTTCAGATTCTGGTTGGGGGACAGGGGCTTTCGTAGGCTTAGCAGGAGCTCTACCTTCACGTTTCTGAATCACAAACGAATACGAATATGACAGAAAATTAAATGCGAATTTAGATAGGTATTGTATCATCAATGCATTGACTGATTGTCTAGTAAAAAATGCCGCAAGTAGTGATACTCATTGAGGATTTTCAAACGTACTGGCTGCGGCCTTGGAGTTGATTGGTCAGCAACATACTGCAAAATCTCAAGGATTCTAGTCTGACCATAGCTTGCAACTCGTTGCCAGTATATAACAGCCATATCTCCAGCTCTTGTCCTTAGCTCCAACAAACTATGGTCTATGTCATTCTCATGCTGTGAAAGATATGGCCTAAAGAAAGACTCGTAGACATATGTAGTACCCTAAACAATCAAAGACAAAGAATCAGTACACCATAAAAACACTCCTGTTTCTCCTCCAAAAAAATAAACACTTACCCTGGTTTTCGGATACCACAGGTATATGAAGAATGCTAACTTAGCTTCACTATACATTGGAACCCTTAACAAGAGAAATGAAGAAAAAACAACCATCAAACAGACAGATCGTTGTTTGTAATTGGAGAAAATCAAGCGGCTTTCATCTAGAATTGCTCACCATGAAACAAACGCATCACCAACTCTCTCAAAAACTGTCAAGCAAGCAACCAATATCCTGTGTTTGATAAGTTTCTTAAAGTAAGTAATTTCTGACACACAAACACTTCAACCTTACGAATATGAAACGAAGTAAAGCCGATAAAACAATATACCAGTACTGGCACCAAAAGCGAAGTTGCTCAATTTCAGGCCTATTCTTTTCAACAGTCTTGTAACATTCATACGCAGGGTAAGCATAACCCAACACCATCCTACAACAAATTTAGTAAATTTTAGGAGAACTAATCAACAGTAACTGCCACATGCCAAAAAAAAATGTAAGGATAGTATGATTTTCATACACCAAGCCTCTTGTAAGAAACGATCCAATCATCTTGAAGAAACTGAAAGCAAAGCAAAAACAGCATCAATTAACATGAGAATTTAACCAGCTTTATTTTTCAATACTCGAAATGTTTTCGAATAAAGATCAAATAGTGCAAAATTGATAGTCCTTCTCTAGTTAAACCTTCAACAATCATCCATTGATATGAGCTTAGCAATGTAAAAATCAAAATTGAAGTAACGAGATTGAGCATTGAACGCGCCTGATGACCAATTCCACTATTTCATAATTCTCTCAGATCGAGAAGAAATCAACAAAGAAGATGAGAAAATGTTACAGAGAATCAACTAGTGAAAACGAAATTGAACAACTAAAAAACTCGACCACAACACACGAACGATTATCGATAAGCGAAAACCTAGGGTAAACGATCGAGCTAGATGATGATTAGCAACGAATACGTCTTCTCAAATTCTCAGTATAAGAAACGAAAACAGTACAAAGAACACCGATTCGAGAGATCGGGATGGTGAAGTTACCGGCGGAGGAAATTGTAGTTGGGAGAGAAGAACAACTGTGTACGGCGGCGGTGGGAAGCAGAGACGGTGGAGGAGAAAGCTCCGGCGAGAGTAAAATATCTGCGTTATCTGAAATTTCAAAATCACCTTCTCTCTCTTCGGATTTGCTTTTTTGCAGATTTTTAAGTCACGCCTCTTTGAAAATTATGGATTTTGAGTACCCTAATAATAAAAAGCAATTTTGGACTAATAAAATATTTAATTACTATTTTTACAATATTCTCGCACACCGTTAGAAGCTAGGTATATATATTTTTTTAATGTTACATCATCTTGACTTTTTACTTTTTTATTTTTTACTTCAAATGTCGAAGTTTGGTGGATATTGAATAACCGCTCATTACAAATTGGGTTTTTTGTTTGTATATCTTTTCAGGATTAATATAATTTGGTAGAAGATCAATTTGGTTGATTATATGTATACAACACAAATTATCGTCATAAAGTGAGAGGCATGTTTGAACCTCACATGTGGTTCATGTGAAAGATTAACAAATCGACGTAAACTGGTTAAATTAAATCCTATTATACGAATCACTAAGAACTATTTTCAAATAATCAATTTTCATCTAAATGGCATCAAACCAATGAGAAATACCTTTTTTAATCGATATCATTAGAATACCTCTAAGCTAAGAGCCATGGCAGATCACCACATTTAGTTGTGTAGAATCTTTAATTCTAAGAATATTATTTTGAATTATGATATAACTATTATTTTTTATTAATTGCAAATTTGGCATATTTGTTTATTGGAAAGTTTTGAGAAAGTGGGAATTTGACTTTCTTTCTATATGATATATTATTCTCTAACGTTAATTGTATTAAGTGGTGATTGATCTCTTTCCTTGTTTAGTCGTGAAAATTTCTCTATAAGACTAGATACAATGGTCATTTTTTAAACAGTTGAATAACTAATTTAACTGTTGAATCACTGCAATGATGTGTTGAATAAAAGACAAATGATGAGGTGGAGTTAACCTAGTTGTAAAGATTCAACAGTGTTGAAACGAAAGAAATGGGTCTCATGGTGATACGTGACAGACATTGATTGGGCGATTTTTTTAATTATATGATAATATTTGAATAAAACATGTGTATAGTTTTTATTGGATGCTGAGATTTTAGATATTTCTTATCTAACCCAATTATTTAATATCAATTATGTCATAGAATTGTAAATTTTATTTTAATATTTGTATACCAAAATTCATCATTTTTTATACTCTATAAATAGAAAATTATTTCACTTAATTTGGACAAAAAAAAAAAACCCATTTTTTTACTATATTTTTGCTGTCAGCCTTCATAAACTCTTTTTTATTGTTTTATCCGTCTTTCTAGTGAAATGGATCCTAATAATAATCCGTTTAGCTCCCAAAATTCTTCTAATTACCCTTTTAACTATCCAAATCCAAACAATTATCAGTTTCCAAATCAATCTTCCAACCATCCCCAGCATATACCAAATTATGGATACCCACCAAATTTCTTCATGCCTTCAGCTGTTCCAAACTATCGTCCATATCATGGATCGATGATGTCGTATTCATCTCAAGCACCCTCTTATTCTTCTGCTCCAATGGGTAATGAAACTAATACAAGTGTTGGAACAACTGAATTCCCCGAATTTTCTACACAAATGGCTCTTGGTGCTATGAGCGGTGTTCATGAAGCCATTCCAAATGAAGAGGATTCAACTCCTGCTCGTCCGAGAAGCTTTAAATGGACCACTGAACAAATTATGGTGCTACTGAATGGGTGGATTAAATATGGAACATATAGCGTTTTTGGCAGAAACCAAAAAGGGGATTCATATTGGGGTAAAATTGCTGAGTACTGTAATGAGCATGGCTCATTTGATACTCCACGCGATGGAGTTTCGTGTAGAAATCACTACAACTACGTGAACAAAAGCTTGGGTAAATGGGTTGGCACTTACGATAACGCTAAACACATGCAACGAAGCGGGTGGTCGGAGGATGATGTATTGGCGAAAGTGTATGAACTATATTCAAGTGCTGGTAATGGAAATTTCAAATATATAAAAGCGTGGCTCGCAATCCGTGATCAACCACGTTATGGTAGTCAAGTAGGAGGAAATACAGGCTCTGGAAGAAATGGATCTAAGAGAGCCCACGAGAGTGATGCTAGTGACGCCAACTCTGTAGGATCTAGTACTCGTCTAATGGGGAGGGATGCTTCTAAGAAAAAGGCTAATAAGAAAGGTAAGGGCGCAACCTTGAAAGTGGTCAACGAAGAATAGAATGAATTCAAACAATTAAAGACGCAAGAGTTGGATCGATTGAACAACATAGCCATGTTGCAAAAGAAGACAAACGAATTGATTAAGGAAGCGACCCAGGCTAAGAAGATGAAGATGTATCTCAAGCTAACTGAAAAGGAACATCTCGACGACAAGGGCAAAGAGCTGTTGCAGAAGTTGAGCCACGATTTATTTGGAAATTAATTATTGTCAAGTGGCTATTTGTATTTTGTCACTTCATGCTTTAATTATGTGTGTTTGTTTTCTACTTTAGTAATGTTTGTTTGTTATTGTCTCTTTTAATAATTTGTATTGTTTCGTTATGCTTTAATAATGTGTGTTTGTCACTTTCTTCCTTTAATAATTTGTATTGTCATGTTATGCTTTAATAATGTAATCCGTAAGTTTTGGCTTTTAATAAGAGAATTTTATCCTTATCTGTGTCTTTTGGGTTTCAACCACTCAATTCGAATCCAATCATCTAACCATTTTTTTATAAATAGAGACTCTTTCTTCCATTGATGTACAAATACCACAAATCTCATCTTACTAAAAAAAATCTCAATGGATCCATCATAATTTCCTTTTGATATCGAAGCTTACCAAAAGCAGTCTGAAATTGAAGAGAGGTATATCATCAACCGGTTTAGAGAGCGCCAAAACAAAATAGAAGAAAACTATCCACCTCGTAGCAAGACAAAATACTTCAAGAGAGATCATGCAGCAGCAAATCAAAGACTAATTGACGACTACTTTGCCAATCAACCTATATATGACGATGCAATGTTTCGTCGGCGATTCCGGATGCGAAAACATGTTTTCCTTTGGATCGTTGGAGACCTATCAAGCAGCGACAACTACTTCACCCAAAGATTTGACGCAGCTAAGAAAAAAGGTATATCTTTATTAGCAAAATGTACTACGGCCATGTGAATGTTAGCATATGGTGTGGCAGCCGACGCAGTGGATGAATACATCAAAATTGGAGGTACTACTGTTTTGGAGTGCTTGCGAAGATTCTCCAAAGGAATCATACGACTGTATGAGCAAGAGTGTATCAAAACCCCAACTCAAGATGACATGTAGAGAATTATGGGTGTTAGTGAGATGCGAGGGTTTCCTGGGATGATTAGGAGTATTGATTGCATGCACTGGGAATGGAAAAATTGTCCTACGGCGTGGGAAGGTCAATTTACTCGAGGCGATAAGGGAACCACCATTGTTATTCTTGAAGCAGTGGCATCTCATGATCTATGGATCTAGCATACTTTTTTGGATGTCCTGGCACATTGAACAATATAAACGTTCTAGACCGTTCACCGGTCTTCGATAATGTTGAACAGGGAAATACTCCAAGAGTCAAATTCTTCGTGAACCAACGTCCATATGATATGGCATACTATCTAACTAACAGTATTTATCCTTCTTATCCCACTTTCGTCAAATCGATTAGGCTACCTCAAAGTGACCCAGACAAGTTATTTGCAGAACGTCAGGAAGGATATCGGAAGGACATCGAACGTGCATTTGAAGTGTTGCAGGCTCGATTTAAAATCATTCGTGAACCAGGTCGCATGTGGGACTTAACTGATTTGGCTATCATCATGAGGTCATGTATCATATTATGCAATATGATTGTTGGGGATGACCGAGAGATATATGCTCAACATTGGAATGATTATGATCAATCTGAGGCAAGTGGGTCTAGTACACAACAACCATTCTCGACCGAAGTCCTACCTGTATTTGCAAATCATGTGCGTGCTAGATCCGATTTGAGTGATTCAAATGTATATCACGAACTACAAGCAGATCTAGTCACACACATATGGGCCCATAGGGAATGTTCGGTGGTGAATGAGATTTATAAGTTTGTGAGTTGAGACGATTGTACTGATTAAGTTATGAGTATTTCTTTACCTGTGTTGTGTGCTTATTGTATTGCATTTTAAGTTTCTCGTCAATGTATGTGTTTTATTAATGACTATTTGTATTTCTCGTTTTTATTATTTGCAAAATAAAATTAAATGATAAATAAAAGAAAAACAAAAATTATAAAATAATTTTTTTTTTACTTATTTTAGATTCATTTGATATTTATTGTGATTATTAATTTGTATTCACAAAAAACTTAAACATAAATAAAATAAAAAATATTAAAATAAAAATTGTGGGGTAAGGTGTTGTAATTTATTAAACAAAACTATTGTAGAGAGTAAAAATTATATAGGTGTTGAATGATGATGTGGAAGAGAGATAAGATGATGTGGAATGTTAAAGAAAAAAAAAAAATTGGGTGTTGTAAACTTAAAACCAATGTAGATAGTCTAAGAAGGAGATGTGTTGTGTCTTCCAAAAGATACACTTGCTACACTGTTAAAACAGAGAAACATAAAACAGAGTTCATTATTCAAGTGTTGTATGGCTGTTTAGTTTGAGAGAGATAACCTTGGGGAGAGGTTGATGCCGTTGTGAGGAGCACGGAGCAAGGACTTCAGCAAGAAGAAGACATCCATGATTAAGGGGGAGTAAATGTTTTATTCGTGATATCTTAGATCATGTTTTAGATAGATGTGTTAAAACTTGTGTAGAACATTTATTTGTATCTTGTATTGTCTTCTTAAAGTTATCTAATAAACTTGTTTGCACCCGAGGACTAGTTGTTGGTTTGAAAGAGAACCAACCGATACCTCGTTAAATCTCGTGTCGTCTTATTATTGTTTTATTGTTTATATCGTTTCCGCTATTTATTTATTATATCTAGTCTCTCTATAAATTTTACATGGTATCATAGCGGGATCACTGATCAAGTTTTTAAACTTTTGCAGTGATTCGATCTTGTGTTTGAGACTAGATGGAACCGCCACGAGAAGGAAGTTCGGTCACACGTCCTCCATCCCTAGATGGCAACAACTAATCTTATTCGAAAATCAGAATGGAGTCTTTTATAAGTTCTATCGATGGGCAAGCTTGAAACTCAATCATTCTTGGATATAATGTGCCTGTTATTACATATAACGATGGAAACACAACCCCAAAACCAGTAGAACAGTGGACAGTGGAGGAAAATCGTAAGGCCATGTGCAACTCTAAGGCGTTAAATGCTATCTACAATGCGATTGATGTTGGCCAGTTCAGAATGATCTTCTCATACAAAACCGCTAAGGAAGTTTGGGAGGCTCTAGAGACGACCTATGAGGGAACGTCTAAGGTAAAACAAACAAAACTTATTAGTTCGAAATCTCGCTTTGATAGTTTGTTGATGCAGCATGACATCACCATATCAGACTTTTATAAAGAGCTTAGAGACAGTGATGACATATTCTCTTGGAAAAGAATACTCGGAATTTGATATGGTGATGAAGGTGTTAACGTCTCTGCCCAATAAGTTTTCTCCCAAAAAGACAGTGATGACATAGTCAAATGATGTGACAAAGATGAAGCTTGAAGAGCTTATTGGATCTCTCCAAACCTATGAGATGGAGATGAGGATGCAAGATCAGAATAGAGGTCTCGCCGAAAGAGCAAAAAGTCTTGCGTTTCTCTCCACGGAAAGAAAAAGTGATGATGAAAACGAGAATGAGGTGATTCTCACAAAGAAGATTGGGAGATACATGAAGAAACTAAAGTTGCTGAAAGACAAGAAGCTCTCAAAATCCAGCAGCAATTATGGTGGAAGAGATGATCGAGGCAAAGAGAAAAGGCAAGTTCAATGTCATGAGTGTCAAGGTTTTGGGCACATTAAAGCGGAGTGTGCAAATCTACAGAAACGAGAAATATCACTTAAAACTACGTTAAGTGATTCGGAGACAGAAAGTGATGAAGAAGATGTCTCTTACGGCAACGTGATTACCTTCGTTGCTAAAGTTGAATAGTCTGTCAAAGTTGAGCCTGTTAAAACAGAGTGTGCAAAAACAGAAACTGCTGAAACCGATGAAGACTACTCGGATGATGAGGATTTGCCACCATATGAAGATCTTTTACAAAATTGGGTGGATATATGCAGCCAAATCGTCATGCTTATGAAGGAGAAGAAAGAGTTAGTCATTCAAGTTGGATACATGCATCCAAAAACAGCTTCAAGAAAAAGAAGAAAAACTCAAACAAGTGAATCATGAACTTGAGAAAACCAAGAAACAATGGGACGTCAAAGCTTGATCATATCTTGACCATGGGAAGAGTTGGACATCAGCCTCAAGGTCTTGGATACAAAGGTAATGAATCAAGCTCTAAAACTGTTTTTGTTTCAGGTGGTATTATGCATGATACTGTCAAGAACATGCCAAGACAATTCCAAAATAAGCACGTTAATCATGTGCAATTTCATCCTATTTGTCATCACTGTGGGAAGAGTGGCCACATACGTCCACGGTGTTATAGGTGTCTTCGAACCTTTTCTTTTAAACCTCAAAAAATCAGATTGATATGGGTAAAAAAAGTGATTTATATGCTGATTATATACCTTCAAAACTAGGCATGGGCAAAATACCCGGAACCGAATACCCGAACCGAAAAACCCGAAAAAATATCCGAACCGAACCCGAACCGATTTTTAAAAATACCCGAATGGGTCCTAGACCTCCTACCCGAACCGAACCCGAACCGAATCCAATACCCGTGGGTACCCGAATACAAATATACACCTAAAAATATTAGTTATATATATACTTATAATATCCGAAATACCTAAAATTACAATCACAAATCCGAATATACTAGGTATTTTTGAGTAATTTGGATACATTTGGATATATTTGGTTAAAAAGTAACTAATGATGTAGTTTTCTTTTGGGTAATTTTAGTATTTTTAGATATTTTTGGTTATATTTGGGTAAAGAGTAACCAATGTATTTTTGAGAAATCGGGTATTTCGGTTAGATTTGGGTATATACGAGTAAAAAACCCGAATCCGAAAATATTTCGAGTATTTTTTGGTTATTTTCAGGTATTTTGCTTTTTTTATTAAAATACCAGAACCGACCCGAACCCGAACCAAATTTTTAAAATACCCGAATGGGTCTCGATCCCCTACCCGAATAGACCCGATACCCGAAAAAAAAGAACCGATCGGGTACGGGTATCCGAATGCCCAAGCCTATTCAAAACCATGATTTTATCTCCTTAGCATGATATTTTTGAGTGTTTGATTAAAATTATATTAATTTTTTTTAAGTATATTGGTTTTACCCCGAGAAAGAGTATGTTTATTTTTGCAAGGACTGTGATTCACAAGCTTAAAAGAAATCTGTTTGTACTCTGTCTGTTGAAACAAAGCTAATAAAAACAGAGTGACAAAGTTAGGAGATGAGTCATGAACCTTACAAGGAAGTTATTTCTATCCTTTTTTAATGTTATTTTTGACAATTCTTAAGCTCATTAAGGGGGAGTAATGTATGATTTTACAATGCTTTTGAAGTCAAATTTATTTTCAAAGAGTATGTGCTTAAGCTTGTCAAAAAGGGGGAGATTGTAGAATCTTTAATTCTAAGAATATTATTTTGAATTATGATATAATTATTTCTTTCTATTAGTTGCAAATTTGGCATATTTGTTTATTAGAAAGTCTTGATAAAGTGGGAATTTGACTTTCCTTCTATTGATATATTATTTTCTAACGTTAACTGTATTAAGTGGTGATTGATCTCTTTCCTTGTGTAGAAAAGGAGAAAACGTTAGAGTCATGAGAATTTCTCTATAAGAAGAAGATGTGATGTGTCTTCCAAAAGATACACTTGCTACACTGTTAAAACAGAGAAACATAAAACAGAGGTCATTATTCAAGTGTTGTATGGCTGTTTAGTTTGAGAGAGATAACCTTGGGAAAAGGTTGCTGCCGTTGTGAGGAGCACGGAGCAAGGACTTCAGCCAGAAGAAGACATCCATGATTAAGGGGGAGTAAATGTTTTACTCGTGATATCTTAGATCATGTTTTAGATAGATGTGTTAAAACTTGTGTAGAAGTTTTATTTCTATCACGTATTGTCCTTCTTAAATTTATCTAATAAACTTGTTTGCAGCCGAGGACTAGTGGTTGGTTTGAAAGAGAACCAACCGATTCCTCGTTAAATTGATGAGCACATAACCAGAGTAAACCGGTGTCGAGTAGGTTAAAGATAGAAAAGAGATGTGGTCTTGTTATTGCTCCTAAATTAATGGGATTGTATCCCACACTCTCCACGTTCTTAGTAGTAGATTTAGTGGTTAGTTTCTTTTTTTATTTTTGTGTATTTAAAGACTTCAACTTCAAGTTAAGGAATCAGATTTTATTTGCCAAAAGAAACTTGTGTTAGTGTTGTGTGTTTACACATTCTCTTAGCTTTGAGGAGGGACCTCTTATCATAAATCTCGTGTCGTCTTATTATTGTTTTATTGTTTAAATCGTTTCCGCTATTTAATTATTATATCTAGTCTCTCTAGAAATGTTACAAGTTGGTTATAACCAAAATTATTTTTGAGCCCATCTTTGGAAGATACCACGCATTGAGCTCTTCATGGTAGGTTTATTTACTCTATATTGATCATCTCCGAGATATGTCATGGAGCAAGCGTAGAAAGGCGAAACCCAAAATTTATTATGAACACTCTTTGGTGCCAAAGAAATGATAAATATTGTACCACGAATCTTACCCAAACAAAGATCCCACAACCCTTGGAAAAACCCCACCACCGATAGAAGCTTCAAACAAGTAGTGAGGTCGAGCCCTGATACATCACCAAGACTCGGGGCGAAGGAAGATCGACACAAATAAGGAGGAAGACTTGAAGAAGAAAAATGGCAACCTCGTCTGATGTTGACAATAGTACCATGGGTGTTCTAAGACCAACTTGGAGTAAATAATTTCCCATAACACTTACATGTAACAAAGGTAGAAAGGAGAATCTTGCGCAACATCCAAATTGATAAAGTATATAGGTCTCATGATTGAAGATTCCTCAAGAAACTCAACCTTTTGAAGCTAACCATTTGGACATTTCTCAAATTACTCAAGCCAATTCAGAATATTACCGATGGAAGCTACTAAGAATCTCAAAGAGGAATGGATTCATGTCCAAATTATCTAAATACAAGGAGTCTCCGAAATATCTTATTTGGCTGATACACTACAATCTCACTCCAACAGTCATATATTAAGTTTGATTTTATTTATTTATTAAAAACTTTTCGACTATAATTATCTGAGAGTCTACATAAGCTTTTTATTCCACATAATATTCAAAAAATCAACTTTATAATATAAACCGAGAGTTTTTCTATCAAAGTGGGTCATTCATTGTTCATTTGGTTCATCCGAGCTACACCGCCAATCCGAGTTCATTTAAGCATATGGCAAATCTAGAAGAAGATTAAGACCTTCATTTTAAATTTGAAGATTAAGAAAAAAAAAAAAAAAAGTGGATTTCGAAGAGATCAAGGAAGGAGAGGTTCTGATACTAGGTTCACTACAATATCCGGTGAAATTTTTTGTTCATCCAACTCAACTGTTTTCCGAGGATCATTATCCACCATAAAGGATCTTTATTTGCCTTGGAGTTGATCTTCTTCACTGTGTCGATATGTCTATGTTTCCTTTTATTTTCTAGGGAAACAAGGGTACAATTTAGTGAAACTAATATGGAAAAAAAAAAAAAAAGAGTATGCATTGGTATACTTTCATATTCGTAAAATACTAAGATTCATGTAGATAAAACAAGATAGCTAATTGACTATGACAAACTCAAACCAGAGGGTTTATTTGATCTCCCTTACACCAACTAAAGTACAACGGACCCTTGCTTTGGTCATTTTAGGTAGCCTCTGAAATAAATAAAATTACATTGATCGCTAAATCACATGTCTGAATTACAAGAAGATGAGTAGCAAAACTGTTTAGATCCACCAAAATAACCTATCACATCAATGCATTATCCGAACTGCTCCTTTGTTTTCTTAATTATATTCTAGCACATTGTTTAAGTTGATCGAGTAAGAGTTCACGATGAAGCTCAAGCTGTGTTGGGATCCTTTTGTGCATATTTGGCTTTCTTTCTTAAATACTTCTCTTTTTTCCTCTCTTTTATCCTTTTCGCCTCTTCCATCATGCGAATGTGTTTCGCCTGCCTCTCCGCCTTAGTGGGTTTCCTTTGAGGGGTTATGTTTTCCTTCTTCTTCCCCCGAGTGAAATCTCTCTGAGGGTTTTTAGTTTTCTTCATATTTAAAGGGATTACTTTCAGAGAGCTTTTCAGCTTCTTCGATTTGTCTCGACTCTGAGGGGTATCATTCTTCTTCCTAGTCTTTTGACTTTCAAGGCTTTTCATCTTCTTCGGAGTGATTTGAGTCGGAGGGCTTATCCATTGTATCCCATTTTCTCGAAATGCTGGGATTCTTTTCGGCACTCGTTGGTTCTGGAAAATAGTATTTGGACACAACGCTGGTTCCGAGTTGATGTGCGTACTATCAGGTTGGGCATTTATTGTTTGCAACACAAGCCTGTGTGCTGCCTTCCCAAGCCTATTCCCAGAAATAGATCCTTCTGGATTATACCTGCATACATCAAGAGAAAAAGAACTAAGACATTTAACACCATCTGTAAATAAAGGCCTTCCAAGACTTTTGCATATCACAACATTTCATAATCTTCACCTCTTGATTTTTTTAACTTTTGAAGGAGCTCGTCTTCTGTCACCATCTTCATGCCATAGAAGACCTTCAGCTTTCAAATCCACTAGATGTATAGTCTGTGAAGAAAACAAATAACGAAAACTGTGTAAACTAACCACTATAAACAAGTCAACTATGAGTTTGGTTCTTCTAAAATCCAAACAAAGCAGTTTCTTTATTCTTGACCCACAACTTGAAATCAAAATCGGAAGCCAAGAAGAGCAAACAGTAAACTCAATCAACTATACCTTTTTAGGGATTTTCAATGTTGGAATTTGATGAGTAATCTCGCTGCCTCTGATATCATCTGGAAGTTTGTATATAGCACAACTGAAAAAAAAAATGAATGTTACTTTGATGAAGATCAGGTTCCAAAATTCATCTTCATAAAGCTCAAGGGGATGGCCAAAAAGTGATTAAACCCAAATTCTTGCATTGAGGGCTTACATGACATGATTGGCTAAAACATCTTCCATGCCCTCGACTGGGGAGCTGAAACATGGAGGCTGACTATCTCCACCACATGAAGCTATGTAACCATTCATCCCATCACTGCATACATCAAGAAATTTTCAATTGCGTCTTCCTCACTACATTACCCCTTTTCTTATATACTCAAGAAGAAATTAATATAATTTGTAAACAAGCGGCAGAAAATCACAACCATAACTATTCTCAAAATTCAGACACAAACCTTAGTCCAGGGTCAATTTTCTCGATGATAGTTGCTCGTTCTTCATTGCTCAAGTTGTTGGTACGGCTATTAAGAGAACGGATGAGTTCAGCAAGGGGATGAGATGCAACAACAAACAGCATGTCAAACAACACACTGTTTCTTCGAATTTCTTCGTTCTGGAAAAAAACATATAGAAGAAAAATAAAGTTACATGTGATTGTACAAATTTTTCTTATAAATAAAAACCACTACAAAAGTCAATACACAAAACATAGATTGGATGTACCGTCAGTGATTTCTCCACTAGTGCAGCTGCCTCCAGAAGACGCCTTTCGTCAACAAAAGGCAGTTTCGATATACCCTTTACAACGAAAGATAAAGGTATGAGACCATAAAATGACTACATCTAACTGAAGAAATTACGCAGGTCACCAATCAAGTATGCTGAAAAGACAATCAAACCTGCCAAGAGTAGCGTTTTCCATTCATGTCAATCTCAAAATCTGCACACCAAAAAAGCTAAATGAGAGGCATGGATTGCACAATAACACAACGAAAGAGACCAATCTGCAAAACAACTTTACCAGCAGCATAAAAATCAGCTATAGGCGAAGCTGGATCTGTCATCAATGTCCTATAGCACTGCGGGAGAGCATGTGCACTGAGAACAGGAATCCAATGAGCAAATCAGTGACAGCAGAGAGACATTAAGAATGCTCAGATATACAGATAGAATACCTTGCAGATGGAAGAACAGCCAGAAGTTGATTGAAAGGTTTAAACGGGGAACCTAGTTCAAACTTAATATCTAGGCTATCAAGGCCCTTGAGATCTGATGCGAAAGGTGCGTAATGATATGGATAAAACCTGCAAAATATACCCGTAATTAACCACCGACAAACAAATGGGAGAAAGGAAAGTGTCAATGAGTCCATTTCCACTAAGATTGCTATTATTACTAAGGCCATCATGTCCTCTAAAACTAGGCTCTTTTGGAATTAAATCACAACAGATAAAAATCAAATAAAGAGATGTACGCAGAATTTTAAACATCTCAGCTTGATTACTAGAGGATCTATATAAGTAGAAGTTAAGTTCAAATAAACAAAGATGCATGACACAATTATGATGGAGTCTTGCACATGAAATTTGATGTTTTGAACAGCTCGTAAAATTTTTAGCATGATATGTAAATTAAAATGAGCATCCCTATCCTACAGGACAATATGGTAATCTCAGCGCAATAATCATCCTGCTTCAAAATATTAGATGTAATGAACCACAAGAAAATAAGTAAAGCGAATAGTATATAATATATGTACGAGGATGACCAGAAACTGACCAGTTCCAGGAACAAACACCATGATAATAATAATGCATTATCCAACAAAGACCTTCGGTATACTTCAAAACCTAGCAAATAATTAGAAGAAAAAAACAGTAAATTGATGCGTTCTGAGTGACTTAAAGGTAATTTATTTTCATCAAATTAAACACATGAGAAACTCACAACATCTCTGCGTATTAGTTCCATTTCCTCAGCAGACTTAGCTGTGAATTTCTCTTCATAGTATCTTTCCCTCCATCCTGTTGCACCTAGCTTAACCTATTAACACAACAGCTGTGTGAACTTGCCAGCGTGATTAAATGATTGATTAGATGTTAATCAAACAAACTCATGAAGATTACGCACTCATGATAGCATTGATGGAAACAGAGCTGAAAAAATATATAAATGTGACCTTATCTTGTTCTCCCTTTCCTGAGCTGAACACATCAGATTTATCCCGCAGCAGTTTCTTAAGCTTAAACTTTAAGTCTTCTCCGTTATCTAGTTCCTGAAAACCACTATGTACTTTAGCACAGTTTAAATGAGAGAGAAAAGCTCCAAAACAAAAGAACTGCAGTTCAAAAAAAAACGGGAGACAAGCTACAAATTTGTTAAAATTCCTCAGACGAGATACAAGATGACTTACTTCAGCTTTGAAGCTATTTTCTGTTTCAACATTCGCCACACCAATGTTATTATCCAAAGACAAACGCAAATGTTTTCGTGGAGGTGAGGAATGCAATGAATCAGACACTTCATCTAGAGAATCTAATTGCACCAACTTGCCAGAGAATTTTCTGCTTGCTTGAACACTGTCACGAGCTTTTTCACGAGCTTTGTCACGAATAAACCTTCCTGATTGCCTCTGTAACAGACATCATAACACTTGCACCAATGAAAAACTATCCATAGAACTGAAACAAATGTTGTAGATTTTTCACGTTTTCTAATCTTCATTTTCCCTGGATCAGAGGGGTGCCAAATTCATCAGCTAGTGTAGACAAGTTTTTAACCAATGGAAAAGAGAGGCGTATGGCCATCTTTCAGAAAGAAAACCGCTAAGTATATTATATTCTTATAAGAAAATACACAAGTATCTTGCCTAGAGAAGCAAAATGACAATACTTTTATTATACATGGTTGTTACTCCAAAACATTCTCTTTGTTTAACCATTCCGAAGTTTTTTCACTTTATCTTAATTCTTAAGTATCTCTTACTCAACTTGAAGTTACAACATTCCCTGGCCCAAAAATCCACTATGAGCTACTATTCACCTAGAGGAAATACGGTTGTACAATCAAACAAAATTTTCTACATGCCAGAGAGAAGTGATTAATAGCCTGGTCGGGACGAGTAACAGATGAGCACTTCCATAGCGTTAGATGGAGGCTAAGGTTATTTATAATCTTGTCGCTTGCATCCAAATATCTTAAAATGCAAGGAAAATGCAGATAACTACAGAAAACAAAATTATTGTATGTGGACATTAACCTGTTGTACTTGTGCTCTCTTCTGAAATATCTGATTTTCATAGGTCCCAACGGCTTTGATGAAACGCTCCACATTTCTTAAGTTCAGCTGAAAGTTAGTAAACAAAAGTTAAAAAACTATGCAACCCAACAGCTACACCAAGTAAGATAAAGAATGTTTAATTTATGCACCTTGCTTGAATCGGTCAAGTATTTTTTTGCTGATCTAAATTTATTCTTGTACACAGACATCAGCAGTTCTATAGCACCCTGCAAGACAAAAACAATAATAATTTGAAAATCTTTTTTCAAACTTCTTAAGGGGTTCTAAGTAAGCTCATAGACTTTCAATAACTCAAAGATGCGACCGATTTTTTTTGGAAAGAACACAAACTATGAGTAAATATGTACCAAGTTATTAAATACCAAAGTAATCTCAACTACAAATGAAGATTTCTATGAAGTGATTTATGGCAGACATAGAAAAGTGTGATATGGGAACATATTCTATATCTAAGAAACCCTATTTTTCAACAGATATAAAAAATCTAAGATAATGCTACCTGACCATACAAATGTAAGGGCACACTGTATCAGGCATTGTGACAACTGGAAGAAAGTATTAGCAAGAGAAAAATACAAACCTCCCGTATCTCTAGCGTAGGCATATGTGGCAGGAAATCATTCCCAACGAAAAAACAAATGAAGATGAAGTCATCAATTAAGCGGTCCAAATTTTTTTTCGATCGCTGGTTAGGAATCTGCATGTCGTGTTCCAAATACTCTCGAAGTATCCATATATTGACAAACTGCCAAAAGGTAAAGGTATTGAATGATTCTGGTAAAGATATTTATGAGCCCTTTACATACCATGCAATTTAGAAAATATAGTATTGAGGTGTGTAACCCTAAGAAGTACCTCGTATGGCTTCTTCACCACAACATCTGCCTCAGTATCATCAAGCATTTCTCCTGCCTTCCTCTTCATCTTTCCCTCACAATCTGCTGCTCGGTGCCCAACTTGACCACACAAGAAGCATTTGTCTTCCTCTCCAGGAAAGAAAACAACCTAGGTGACGTCACCAAGGAGAAAATACAGATATATTGGCATAAAGTGAAGCAGAAAAAAGAAAAAAAGAAAGTATCTTCAAACTTCAAAGATTTGCATACAAGTTGGTAACTATTTCATATGTTAATCAAGTGTCAAAACATATTGAAGAAGCACATGCTGAATTATAAACAAGATAGATTGGTCATTGCTTGGCTAGGAATAAAACTCAAAGGAACAATTCTACAAACCTCACGAAGGATTGAAAAATGAATTTCGTGGGTGGCCAAAGACAGCATGATCAAATCGGCGTCCTGTTGTTAAGAAATAATAAGTAGGATGGCCTTATTAGCTTGTGCAATAAAGATCAGAACAATCAAACATGTAAGAAATAAGAATTAAAGGAAGGTTATATACCAAACCATATAGGCAATGATGAGTGTTTGGGTTATAACCAGGATGGTTCTTATTACAACGAATGTATGACATGATCTTGTGTTCCCCCTCACCAGGAACATTAGCATCCGAAAGTATAACCTTTAGAATAAGGAAATCATGAGCAAAACTTGAAGTATATTGTAAACAGCCACAAGGAAAATATCAGAGACCCTAGTTAATACCTTAATATTTTTCCACCCAGGATCAGAATTTAGTCTAACGTGAATGTAGTATCGCAACGCAAACGACAGAGTAGCCATGAACTCTGTTCCAGGAGTTATAACATTAGAGTCAAAAACTTGAGAATCTACTTTAGGAGGCAATTTCTTCCCTTCTCTCTCAAACTCTTCCCGCAGCTGCTCTTCTTCAGCTGCCTACAAATAGCAGGTAGTAGCATTAAAATATCTCAATGGTAAATACTGTTCCCAAGATAGTTACATAGCAATTGCAACAGAATAATATGATCGTAACAGAATCGGTCTAACTATTATCATTAATTTTAATAATGACACATAACATAGGACGATATGATCACATGGACAAAGCTATACTCAGCAGAAAGCTTCTCTTGTATGATCTAAAAGTTACAACATTTCTCGATACTAACAACTGTTCCCTTCGATGATATAATGATTGATTCATCTTTCCCCACGTAGCATCGTATATACAAGATTGTACTGTGGATCAAAGTCAAGAACAGGATAGGTGCAACTATAACCAGAGATACTTATATGCTACAAATTAAGTGAAATAGTGTATAACAAAGAGATGAATGATACATACTGCTTCAGCTGCATCTTTCGCAGCTCTAAATCGTCTAGCTCTCTGTTGATTCATTTTAGCTCTTGGAGCAACACCATCTGCAAATTACACACACCAAAACACAATGACACAAATTCACAAACACAGATAAAACTAAAAAACCAATTCATGACAGTAAAAACACTCACCAATAGCCATGAATAAGAGCTTCCGAGGTCGAACCATAACAAAAAGCCTATCAATGTAATCGAACATACATTGAAACACCTCCGTAAACGTAGTAGGAGAAGGTTTATCTTCAGGATGGAAACATGGATGAATGATTCCGTTCATGTCGAGATAGAGATTATCATACTCGTAACCATTAGGATTAGGTTTACTTGTATCGATTGGAATCGTGACGCCGCCATTAACTTCGAGTGGTTCTTCTTCAATGACTTCTTGTATAATCAATGGATACCTCTGGATTAACCATCTGTAGAACGACGGAACTCCCATCGGAGAATTTTCGTGAAGAACGTTAAAAGCCTAGAAGCTCTGTAGGTAGCCACAAGCTTTTGCGGCGGTGGTGAACGGGAACGGTCACTCTTTAGGTCACGGAGGAATTAATTTAATTTGATGGTGATGACCTCATAAGTCATAACAGTCCCACACTTTGCTAATTCCAAATCGAACCGTATAAACTGTTGGGTTGTGGTTCAAATTGGTTAGACCAGATTTAATAATTTTATACATTCCTAATTGTACTAAGTCATTAGGACATTCCAACGACCCAATGGATCGTAAAACAAAAAAAAGATAATGAGTAATATTATAATCCAAAATAAACTGAATTAAAAGAATAACTCGCTTAAATAAGTGGATGTAAAAAATAAGCATAAATTTTTATTGATAATATTTGAATTCTAATTAGTAATTCATACTTTTTTAATATTTTATTTAGTAATTTTATTTTAAACCAAATTTTAATTTTGCACACTTCATAATAATAAACTGATATTTAATTCTACACATTTCATCTTATTGATGAGATTTGAATTCTAAATAAAACTAACAAAAATCTATATAACAAAATTTACATATGCTAATTTTATGTGTGTTACTGATCAATTAGATTTTGACATATCAACAAATATTAAAATTTATTAAGTATGGATATTAACCAATACACAATGTACGTTGAAGTTAACATTTAATTTAATGTGATAAAATTGTGTTTATTGTTGTTTGTAAAGTGAAAACACAAAAATTTGGAAAAGGTAATGAGTTTATAAGAATAAATTTTTGAAGCTTGATTAGAATATTAGTATAGTCTTACTTATATTTTACTAGATAATTACCCGTCCGATGGACGTGTTTAATTTTTTAAATATTAAAATCAAATTGAACATAAAATTAATTAACAACTTTGTAAGTAGAAATTTTTTTTTCAAAAGTAAAAAAAATATTTACTTTTTTACTTTAGCATTGTTTCTTTAACCACTAAAATTATTAATTCAAAATTATTTCGAATGAAAGATATATCACATAGCAATAAATTATGGTATACTTATATGAAGAACTAAAACTAAAAATATTCATCATAAAGTTGGCGAATAAAACCAAAGTGGTTTTTAATTAGACATGCTAAATATATAAAGATGATAAATCGACTAAATCCCTTAGTTTTCCAAGCTAACGTTGTGGGTTCGATTCCTATATACTCGATTGCAATGACTTTGGCTCCAATTGGTAACCAATTTTGAGGAAAAGAATGAGTAGGAATGTCATGTTCTCTTTGTTCCTCATTTTTTTTTTACCATTTACAAGGAATTTTTGTTCCATTTTCAGATATGTGGGTCCTATATTTTTCCTCTTCATTCCTCCAAAAAAAAGTAATAAATGATGTCAAGTGAAATTTATACTTTATATAATAAGATTTTATAAGTTTCAACGCATATAGCCATAAGTGAAAACACCAAAAACTTGAAAACAAAGAACTTATAGGAATTAGTTTCCGATTACTTAATGAGAATATTTTTGTTTATAATTTTAACCCATTTCAAATTAGTTTGACATGAGATAAAACGTTGCGCGTACCAAAGCCCCTCATCTCTTATATTTAAAGAATGTCGATGTCAAATTTTTGTGTGGATTTTTATTATTCTACTAATTATGTTTTGTAAATTTTTAATTAATTTTTAATATTAACTAATATATATATTTGATATAATACACATATTATTTTTGATATAAATTTTTTTATCTCTTATCCACTAAAATGTAGTACATAGAATTAAAAACACTTTCTTATGATAAAACAAATTGTATTGCATAATAGAACGTGTAAGATTAAAATTCGGGTTGAAACAAAAGTTACCATAATAAAAGTAAGAAAATGTTTAGGTTATTATTTTGAATTCAAATATACTTAATAAAAATTTACATTTTTCACATCCGCGTATAACGCGGGCTTTATATAGTCCTACTAGATATTGAATTTTATTTATTACAAAATTTATATAATATATATATTAGAAGTAAGTTTTAATTTATTATAATAGTAAGTGAAAAAATATTAATTTTTTGTCAGTCCCTATATACAATATTAAAATAAATATATAATTTTTTCTATAATACTCAATTATGGATATTTTTTTTTTAAGATATGAAAACGGAAATTAATTTTATTTTTTAAAAAGTAATATTTTTGAACTATGAGTTAATTTATGTTAACAACCAAAAAATAGGATTGCATATATTTCAGTTAGATCAAAAATTAAAATATCATAAATTAATCGCATATAAAACATAGATTATTTTGAATTAATTAAGAAAATTAGCTATTATTTTGAATTAATTTAGAAAATTCTTTTTCAATTTATAATTCTTTGGTTGTTGAAATAGAGATTTGTTTGAGCTAATCTAATTACAGAATTTGTTTGAGATTTATAATTACGGAATTTACCAATTATTCGCATAATCGAATATGTTATAAACATATATTTAGTATATAATAATACCAAAATCAATCCGTGCGTGGAGTCTATATTTTTATTTTAGAATCTCAATATTTCATTTTAAAATATTGCGTGCACAATCTCTTATTCGTTAATTCTAAAATTGCTTGTGGAATCAAAATTTCAAATATTTAGAGGTGTCAAACCATATTTAAATGTTCTACGCTATTTTAAATATTCCAAATTAAAATCTTTAAATTTTTTTTGTAGTTTATAAAATTATTAATTTCAAAAAACAAATTATATGAAATTAAATATAACTATTCAAATAGTTATAAGGATCGAAACTCATTTCATCATATAATATATTATATTTAACTCGCTACCTATTATAAATATTTTTAAAAATAATCAAATTAGAGTATTTATAATTTTTAACTTTTTGAACTATTAAGTATTGATGATATTCTCTAAAAATATCAAGTAAAACTTATTTTAAATGTTGCAAATTAAAATATTTAAATTTTTATTGTAGTATATAAAATTATACATTTCAAAAAAATAAATGTATGAAATCGAATATAAATATGAAATCGAATATAAATATTCAAATTCTGACCCGTTGCTCAGTCGGAATTTTTGTTGACTTTATTTTTGTGTAAAAGAAATATATTACTCAAGTCTGAATTTTTGACCCGTTTAATTGTTTCCTTTATAGATTGAACAATTTATATGCGTTTTTAAAAATTCAAATCTTGGCATATGCAGAAAAAATTACTTTTTTTTTATTATGTAGATGATATGATGATTTATTTGTTTGATATTAATATAATCATATTAAGATGAGAGGTGAAGTTTAATGATTAATAACAAATTAATATGGCAAGTCAGATATCAAATTTTATATGTTCATTTTGATTGGTCATTTAAAAAAAATAATAACAGATTTTCGTTTTATAATTTAATTTTTTTTTTTCGTCAAAATGAAAATATATTAATATGAAATGTCATTATACAGAGTTTCCACAATCCATGAAGGAGGATCATGATTATCAGAATAAAAGCATACAACAATACATCCAAACTGGGCAAGGTTATGAGCTACTTGATTACAATTACGATTTACATAGTTAAACTGTTTCTCTTTAAACTTTGAACCCCAAAAACAAAGATCCTGAAGAATGCCTGCAATAGATGCGTCTCGTGAAACACCATTAATATTATCAATTAAAACCTTGCAATCTCCCTTGAAAATAATCTTTGTGAAACCCCGAATCCATGATTGCTGCATGGAAGAAAGGAGAGCTTGCGCTTCTGCTTCTAGTGGTGAACCCGTGCTATTTAGTCGTGAAGAACCCCAAGCCCTAGCTATACCTGCATGATCTCGAATAATCCAACCCGCGGTTGTTTGTTTGGTAATGATATCAAACTTTGCATCAAAATTGCATTTATGGAAGGTTTCCGGTGGCCGTGACCAAGAATATACTCTGTTTGCGGACGTAACGTTATCGGAATCGCTATGTCCCTGCTTTTCCAAAACTTCAAGCCATTCTCGTACATCCGTTTTCGCTTGTAATGCTACTTTTGAAGGACTGAGTCTAACTTTGTTGAATACTAAATTGTTCCTTGATTTCCAAATTTGCCAAAGTAACCAAAAGGGTAAAAATTTATTTGTTTTGGAGATACCTATGGTACGTTGCAAATCCATCAAACAAGATAAATTATCTTCAACATTCTCAGAGGATAACTGTGCTTGTAGGACAGGTATATGTGAGAGTCTCCATGCTAGAATGGCAAAAAGACATGTAAAAAGGCAATGGTTGATTGTTTCTTCCGCTTGTCCGCACCGTTGACATGTTGGATCTAACTTCATTCCTCTAGAGTTTAACCGGGTCATTGTACCTATAGCTCGTGTTAAAATACGCCAGAGGAAATGTTTAATTTTAGTATAATGGGTAATTTCCATATGGCTTTTTTCAAAGGTAAAGAGCCATGGGGAGGAGGGAGCCTTAAGACTTCTTGCGTCGGATCATGAGTAGCAAACCAATAACCAGAACGTACTGTGTATTCACCTGTTTTATCATAATGCCAAATGAGTTTGTCCGGAGAAATCACCCTGGATAGGTGAGTTTGATGAAGAACAGCATGATCAACGGCGACTATATAATCTAACTTGTTTGGATTCCAGTAACGGTAGTCTCCCATATGCGTAATCAAATCGCTGATGTACAAATCTGGATTGGGAGATACCAATGATAGAGGCCGTGGTGGGTGATCGGGAACGATATTATCTTTCATTACATTGATTGAGTTACCGTCACCAACTTGAAACCGTGTTCCCTTTTTAATAATGTCCAATCCATGCAAAATGGATGACCATCCATATGATTGTCTTTGCCTTGGTTTCGCATTCAATATCGATTCATCTTTGAAATAACGAGCTTTCATTAGACGAGCAAAAAGAGTGTTTGGGTGTCGAATAATTCGCCAAGCTAGTTTTGCGAGAAGGGCATCATTAAATTTTGCAAGATTGCGAAAACCAAGTCCTCCTTCACTTTTTGAATATTGTAACCGCTCCCATGCAATCCAGGATATCCCTTTGTGTTGTGAACTTTTTTCCCACCAAAATCTCATAAGAAGAGATTCAATTTCATCAATAACTCCTTTAGGTAGTTTAAA